TCCGAGGTTTCTTGTTGTGCTCAGATGGGGATGGAAAAGATAATGCAATATTGATGCGAGAGCGCAACCCGAGTACATTATCCATGGAGCCAGCACGTTTTTATGGCCGCGGTGAGGTTGGCTCTGGTAAAGCCCGTGAGATTCCCTATGAAAAAATGGGGGTGGGACTTTGGAGAGGGGTTGAGGGAGGTGGTGGGCATCACAATGAGGTGGGTTACGTAGGGTCAGACCTCTAAAGCCCTATGGGGGTGGCACCCAAAGCTCCATAGAGGACAGCCAAAACCCAATGGTGATGGCACCCAGAGTTCCATTGGGAAGAAACCCCAGACTCCATGATGCTAGCACCCAAAGCTCCATGGAGAAAGCACCCAAAAACTCATGGAGGTGGAATCCAAAATCCCATGGAGAAGGCACCCAAAACCCCAATGGGTATAGCACTCAAAGCTCCATGGGGAGGATAACCAGAACCCTATGGGTGTGGCTCCCAGAACTCCATGGAGAATGCATCCCAAACACCACAGGGGAGGCAATAGGGTTGGGTTCCCCACAGCTTTGGAATTTGGGGTGGGTGAGGAGCTTGGGGCAAAGCTGCTGGGCTCAGCTTCACCTGACGGTGAGCCCGGAGAAAATGAGGAAGAAAAATGCCCCCCAAAATGGGAAAAAGAGCTGAAAACCAAGGAGCAAAGGGGAGAAAAATGGGTCAGAATCCCCAGTGATGGGGTCAGGCACAGCCGTTCCCCGCCAGAGCATCATGCATTAGTAATGGCCACCGATCCGCTGGTGCTGACGGCATTTCTTCCAGAGAGAGGAACAATTGGGGCCGTAACCAGAGCCAGCATGGGGCAGGTGGAGGGGCTCAGGTGTCCCCCGCAGCCCTTGGGGTCACCTGTCTCGATGTTCACGTGGAGATTCACATCCCTTGGTCGGTGGTGTGGGTATTGTTGCTGGGGTGGCATCCGGATGGATGTGAGGTCCTTTGGGTGCTTTTGGGATGGGGAGAGTTTCTAGGAGCTCGTGGAGGTGTGAGAGCCCAGAATCTGCTGTGATGTGGGGACAAAGTGGGGAGGAATGGTACCCAGAGCCCCACTGGGATGGCACATGTGTCACATGGGGATGGTACCTAGAGACCCATTGGGATGGAACCCACATCATATGGGGAAAGCTCCCAAAGTCCTCTGAGATGGCACCCAGAGCTCCATGGAAAAGACACTTGAAACACCATGGAGATGGCACCCAGAGTTCCATAGGTAAGAAACACCAGACTCCATGGTGCTGGCACCCAAAGCTCCATGGAGAAGTGACCCAAAATCCCATGGGGGTGGCATCCAGAGCCAAAAAGAAGACAAACAAAACCCCAGTGGTCATGGCATCCAAAGCTCCATGGAGAAGACAACCAAAACCTCAGTAGTCATGGCACCCAAAGCTCCATGGAGAAGACAACCAAAACCCCAGTGGTCATGGCACCCAAAGCTGCATGGAGAAGACAATCAAAACTCCATGGAGATGACATCTGGAGCCAAACAGAAGATAACCCAAACCCCACTGGACACGGCACCCAAAACTCCATGGAGGAGACAACCAAAATCCCATGGGTGTAACACCTAGAGCTTCATAAAGTCTTCAAAAGCCTCATGGGGATGGCAGCCAGAAACTCCATGGAAGAGGCACCCAAAACCCCATGGGGATGTCATTCAGATCCCCATGGAAAAGACCCTCCAAAGCCCCATGGGGATGGCACCCAGCTCCCCATGGAGGAAGCACCAACAACCCCATGGTGTTGGTACCCAAAGCTCCAAAGTGACAGCACCCAAAGCCACATATGGATGACACACACAGCCCTATGGGAATCCATGCTCAATACGTTGTGTCTTTTGATGTCCTTCAGCATGGACACAATTGGGACAGGATGCTCCTGACTCCCCAGTCAGGTTAATATCCCAAATCCCATCTGCCCCGTACTGGACAGAGTGGGAAGCGACTGGTGTGGCTCGGGGGCCACCTGCTGGGCAGAGGGGACAGTGTCACCCCCAGCTGTCCCTAAAAGACCCACGATGGGAGGAGGATAGACAGAGGAAATAAAGTGCTTCCTGCCCTGCTCCCTCTCTAGGGCAAAAGGAACAAAAGCCTGCAGGGCTGGTGGCTCCAATTGGTGGCAGTGAGGTTGGATGTCCCATTGCCATCTATGGGGCCGAAGGTGGCAGAAGGTGTCAGGCTGGATGCTGGCAGCAGGTGGCACTGGCACGACACGGATCTGCCATCCTGACCTCAAAGAGACAAAAAAAAAAAAAACCCAAAAAACCAAGGAATTTTGGAGAGTTGCAGCAGATTTGGGACAGCAGCTGGAAATTAAGCCAGGATGGGGGCAAGGGGTACAAGCTACACATGAGACCATGGCCCAGTAATGGGCTTGCATCCCCTTCCCCTTGTCCTGCCCCACAAAACACCAATGACTGGGGAACTCACATCCCTACATGCATCATCCTACATCCCAATTTCCATTCAACATCAAGCCAAACATCACACGTGAGATTTAGGGATGTCGTGTAGTGGGCATAAGGGTTGCTGATGGGTTGAAGATTGGACTAGATGATTGATCCCAGAGGTTTTTGGTGGTTGGACTCCATGATCTCAGCAATCTTTTCCTGCCTCAATGATTCCATGAGTGGGCATAGTGGTGATGGGTTGATGGCTGAACTGGGTGGCCATCACAGGGGTCTTTTCCAAACCTAACGATTTCACAGCAAAAGGTGTGTGCTCAGCATCCAACCCCATGCAGCTCCATTTTCAGTCAATGTAGGGTTGGCCTCCATCAGCCAAGAGCTCATTCCCAACCCAAAAAATGCCCCGTGGGTGCCGTAAATCCCACAGAGCCAATGACGTGGGGTAGAGGACCCCTTCCTGCATGAAGCTCAAGCACCAGGCAGCCTCTGAGGTATATACATATTTTTTATTTTAAAAAAAGTTTACAGTTCTGTCATTATACACAACTACCGGAGAGGTTATACTCTTAGAGAAGAGGCATTTTGTCAGCGGGGGCAGATGTGCCCACTACATCACAACGCAAGAAAAAAAAACAAAACGGGGGAAAAAGAAAATAAAGAGAGTTTAGACTCTGATGGAGGGCAAAACGCCCCGATCTCTTCAAGTATCACACGATAGGTACCAAATACAGTCAGTAAAATAATGGCCATTTCTCACGCTGCGAACACCCCTGCGAAAGTGCTAGTAGAACTTGGGGTGAGCAAAAATGAAGGAGAAAAAGGGTGAAACACCTCTGACCCTACCTAGGATGGGAAGAAGAGCCTTGGATGTGGGGCGTATGCTCGTCCCAGTTGAGGTTGAGTGGTACTGAGCTGATGGCAAAGCTCTGCTCCACGCTGCCTGCAAAGCAAAGCCATGAGATGGAGGAACAAAGCCATTGGGGAACATCCTGTTGACAATGAGGAGTTTCCAAGGACCTAAACTATAGGATGGAGGAACAAAACCATTGTGGAAACATGTCCCACTAACTCCAAAGGAAAGTGTTGATGCCACCAAGGAGCTTCTAATGACCAGCAGGATGGACAAAGAAAGTCGTTGGGGAATGTGTCCCATAGACACTGAGGAGTTCCCAGGAATCAAATCTATGGGATGGAGGAACAAAGCCATTGGGGATACATGTCCCACTGACTCCCAGGGAAGGTACTGATGACACCTAGGAGCTTCCAATGACCAATAGGATGGACAAAGAAAGTCATTGGGGAATGCGTGCCATACACACCAAGGAGTTTCCAAAAACCACATCTATGGGATGGAGGAACAAAGGCATTGGGGAACACGTCCCACTGACCCCATGACACAGTGTTGTGACATCAAGTAGCTTCCAACAACCAGTGGGATGCAAGAAAAAAAGACACTGGGGAACGCATCCCACTGATCCCATGGCAATGCCAATGACACCAAAGAGCTTCCAAGCTACGGGATTAGAGAACAAAGCCATTGGGGAACACATCCTGTTGACATCGAGGAACTTCCAATGATCAAAGCTATGGGATGGAGGAACAAAGCCATCGGGGCACGTGTTCCATTGATCCCATAGCATAGCATCAGTAGTAATAAAGAGTTTCTAATGACCAGAGCTACAAGGTGGAGGAACAGAGCCATTGAGGAATATGTCCCACTGACCCCAAGAGACAGTGTTGATGACACCAAAGAACTTCCAATGACCAATGGGATGGAGGAGGAAAGCCCTTGGGGAACAGATTCCACTGAGCCCATGGCGTAGTGACAAGGACACAAAGGAGCTTCCAATGACCTTGCTGGTGGCTCACGCACCACAGAGAAGCAAAATCCTCAACAGCCAAAAGGGGAATTGATGGGAGCAGAAGGCAAAGCCTGTTTCCAATTCAGCACCAAGGTTTGGGATGGGGGAACTCATCTGAGAGCAGGGACATGGGATTACGGGTAGGGCTGGCTGAGGCTCCCATCACTGCAAGAGAGCACAAGGCAATGACAACACTGTTTTGTGAATGCTGATAATGAAAAAAGAAAATAAACACCCTCAAGATGAAAAAAGAGCTACCATGCTGCAATAAGGCTCCACCTTTTCCTTCCAGTCTACACATACGGTTTTATTTACAAGCTATTGGGTGGGGCGGAGGGAGATTTCTTTCAAGAGGAAGACTTGGAAAAAAAGAGGTGAAAAACGACACAGGAGAAGATGGGGAGGAAAGAAGAGTGGTGCCAGGAGCCCTGACCAGGGTCAGGGCAGCACCAAGAATGGATTTTTTGGGGGAACCTCTGCTTTGCAGAGCACTGATTTCACAAACTGAGGGGAGAACGTGCGAGTGTGATGCATCAAAACAAAGGTGAGAGGGAGGGAGTGATGGGGGTTAACCTGCAAAAAGAAAAGGGGATGAGGTAATTAGAACACTATTTTTATACAATATTGAAAAAATACAAATTTTTATTGTGTTTTTCTTTTTTTTTTTCTTTTTTTTTTCTTTTTTTTTTTTTTCTTCTTTTAAACTGATATCACCACCCAGCACTTACTCTACTCCTAAGTAGCACCTACAGTAAAGGTTATAGCACAAGCAAACTGCTAGGTCAGCAGGTAAGCAAGGTAAACAGTGCCAGCAAATGTGGCCCCTCCCACCCCAAATAATGAGAAAACAGCGTGCTAGATAAGAGTTAAGTACACCATTACATGTTAAATAGTTAATATTACCCTTCCAACAAGCCACAAATGCTAGATAGAGAACTTCAGCACAGTCACTAGCCACAGCCCTACATTACTGATTTAAAAGAAAAGAAGAGGGTGGGGGGCAAGGGGAAAAAAAGGAAAAAAAAAAAACCCTTTGCTTCATGCCCGTAATTAACATAAATGAAATTCTTTGTATATTTTTATTAAGGAAAATCATGCTAAAGCAAAATGATACTTTATGAGTTCTTCTCTCTCTTTTTTTTTTTTTTTCCTCCTCCAAAACGAAATGAATTGATTGTGCTTTATGAATTAGAAATAGGATTGTAACCTTCCAACCCCGCTGACTCAGAACTCGGTGGCGTTCCTAAAGGAAAACATGTCTGGGAAAATCCAAATGTACCGACCCGACATTCAGAACTCTGCTCAGAGCAGCATGGGGTGGATCAGTTCCCATACACCATCCCATAGGCTGCTCCACAAATTAAAATATCTCACCCAAACCCCTCAGAAATCCCCCCAAAATACAGCAGGTCACGTTCAGGTTTAATATCCATCTCCATTCCGATCTCCAACACACAATTATCCAAATTCAAGTATACCAGCATCCCAGGTAGACATTTGCTCCGTTCCGTAGCATTAAAACAAGCAAACACAAATCTCAGCTTGCTGAAAAACACCCAAAGAAATCAAATATTTCATTTCTCACAGAAAAAAACAAAAAAAAAAAATCAGGAAAAAAATAGAGCAGATTCATTTGCTTCCTCAATCGGTGCTTTTTAGGCTTTTTTTTTTTTTTATTCATCTCTTTTTTTTTTTTTTTTTCCTAGATCACATTCTTTGTTAACTTTAAGAAATTTTAATCCTGTTGTACACACACAAGCAGATGGCTACCAAGCTGGTGCAGAAGGGGAGAAAAGGAAAATAAAATGGGTGCCGATGGATTCGTGGACTGCAGCCAACGGGGCCGATCTCCGTGGATCCAAAGCTCTCAGCACGGCTCATCCATCTGGTCAGAGAGCCCTCCCAGGAGATGGAGGTGTTTGTGAGGTGTTCAACCATACTTCAAGCAAGAGAAAAAAAAGCAAACTTGGAGCCCCGAAGGGCAGCAGTTTCAAAAGGATGACAAAATAAGAGTTGGGTTTCACATGTGCTCCAGCTAAACCAAAGAGCATTGTTTGTGTTTAATTCCTTCCAGAGAGGGAACAGCTCGTAATCCAGACCAAAAGATTAACATCCAGATGAAGGCTTCCAAAAGTCCCAAAAGCGGATGGATGGACCAGTGGTTGTCAGTCCCTACGGTTCAGAAGGGCAGGCAGGAGTCCACATATAAAAACGGACTGAAAATCCAAGTCTAAACTCTTAAGCTTCAAGGCTCTGAATAGCTCCATGCATTTGTGCTGGTTCTATTGAACGTTTTAAAATGTGACTCCGCATCAAATACCATCAGCGAGGTTGACCTGAAGGAGCACCTTTCATTCCACTGTCTGATCTATGCAGTTAATAGCACATCCCTCAGATTTATCTTAAGAGAAAACGCTGTTCCATGTGTGAGCATCCAAGGTGGTGGTCTTTGGAAACATCGATCGGAAAGCAAACATCTTTGCTAACTCCCTACCTACCAGGGCAGCTGTTTGAGCTGACAGTTCAGTAGCACACAAGTTGACTTGGCCAAATGGAATCTGAATGCATGCATTTGGGCTGCATATTGCTACCAAAATGGAATGTGGGAATATGCTATGCACCTCGGGTTGAGAAATGACCAAGAAAAATCAAGATCTAAAGGGTGATATATATATATATATATCAATGCTATTATTCATAAAAACCTTGTTTAGTAATAAAAAAAATTGCTTTGTTTAAATATGAATATTATAGTCTGCTTCTCATGGTTAGGAAATTAGAGTCTCTCTGAAAAGCAGGTTGCCTCTTCTACTACAACTCCATATCCTGAGCCTCGTCTTCCGAGAAGTCAGACATGGAGCTCTCAGACGAGCTATCCCCGGTGCCTTCTTCCTGCTCTTTTAGTGCTTCTTCTGTTGCATATTTCTGAATGTATTCTGTGTGTGACAGAAAAAGAAAAAAAGCATAAGCAGCATGTATTCAACAGTTAGAGGATGGCTTAAGACTGATCGTCCGTGTTTGGTAAATCTCAAAGTATAGCAGTTTATCGTAGTTTAGATTATTGTTTAGATAATATAGTATATATATTATAAAGTTTAGATTATTGTAGGATTATCTACAGCAGTACAGATGATAGCACTGATCACAGGGTTACCAGATTCCTCTGACTCAAGGCAGCACTGCCCAGCAACGAGGTGTGAAAATGCTCAGAGGTGGGTGTGAAAACGCATGCAATCTCTGTGCTACTACATCACTGATACACACTCACAGCTAGAAAACAACCTAAATCCTCCCTTGGATGGTTTAGCTCACATTCCACTTACTGCTGACTTGGAGAACAAGTTTGAATGCCATCAAGCCACCACCACTATTCTATAAGTTGTGGATGCCTTTCCAATTGAACCATTCTATGGCTCCGTGATGCTTAAGGTCCCTTCCAACCCAATCCATTCTGTGACCTTTAAGGACCCTTCCAATATAGCCCATCCTATGGGCTTATGATCTTTCATGACCCTTCCAAGCTAACCTATCCTATGGCCTTATGATCTTTAAGGACATTTCTAACCAAACCCATTCAAACATTCTATGATCCTTAAGGTTCTTTTCAACATAAGCCATTCTAGGATTCTGTGACCTCTACAGTTCCTTCCAACCCAAGCCATTTTGTGATTCTGTGATATTACACAATCTGAGCTTAAAAAATTATTATCTGAGAGTTTTAATTGAGTTTTTCTCCTGGCTGGAAAATAAGGGGCTCTCCATGGGGCTGCTTGTATACTGGGGCACATTGGAGCTATGGCCACACCAATGCAGCTGGAGTCCCTTCCCAATCCAAGTTTGGAAGAGACTGTGCCTAAGCAGAGCTGTCTCTGATCTCCAAGCTCACCTCCTGCAGCCAGTTTCACATCAGCTGTAGGATTAGCCAAGAAGGAGCTGCAGGGAGCCCAGAGCACTGCAGGTCAACAAAAGAAACCATGTCTCACAGCAGGCTTCAAACCACACCAGCTCCAGGCACCCAGATCTATGAACTGCAGCCAGCAGGAAGCCTTGCAGAAAGCAGAGAAACTGGTTTAACTGGGATTCCTGCAGGCAGGTAGAATCACCACTGCCAACTGTGGCTCGTGCTGCTTTTCCACATAGAGAGATGGAGCAGCAAAGTAATAAATGGACTGGGACCAAGCAGATTGAGTCTGGGAACTGCTTCTGCAACATCCCCTCTGGGATTCAAGAAGAATCTGGAAACCTGTGTGCTGAGGACATCTCCAGCAGAGAAAATCTATTTGTTACGTGCATGCACACTGAAAAAGCAGCTTCAGAGTATGGACAAGTGCTGGAACAGCAGTATTCCAACAGCACATCCTCCACATTGCTCTGCACATAGGAGAGGAGCCGTTCTCATGCTGTTCTTGGGGAATTTTGGCTGTGAAGTTGTTTTCTTTAAGCTATTACAATGCAACAAACTCTCCTTCAAATAGCAACAGTAAAAGTGAAGGGGAATATCATCATCCCCTTGCACTCAAAGATGAGTGCCTGCAAGGAAAAAGTGCATGGCACACACCAAACCCAGCCTTGCAGCCTTCCAAATTGTGTATTAATTCTTCCCAAGGAACAGGACTTGAAGACAAACACTTCATGGAGCAGCTGTGACCTTGGTAGAGCTGTTCTGCCATGGGAAAGCTGTGCAGGAGAGCTGGCTGAAAGGTGCTTCCAAGCATCTCCATCCAGTGATGCACACTGTTTCAGTCTAACTGTTAAATATATATTTATTAACCTGCTTGCTCCAACGACAGGAGGAGCTATCCCAATCTGTTTTACAAAAAACTTGTAAGAACTGATGAAATATTAAAGGCAGCTATGCAAACAAGGAGCACTTGAGGGCTCTCCACGCAATGCGGAGAGAGACAGATCATCAGAAAGTTCTTAGTGCACATAATGTGAACAGGAAAGCAGTCTTGTGCTCTGTCCTCAGGTCCTGAGCACTAAAATTCCCCTTCTGAAAAGGTGCTTGCATGTGTTATCACGGTGCCTGATGTCTCCTACCTGTAGCAGAGAGCACAGGCTGGGGCAGAGATCCCTGCCAAAAGAGATGGATGCTGCAAAGTGAAAGCAAACCATGTGGCAGACCTAGTTAAACCCAAAGATGAGAAGAACTAGCTGAAGGGGGGGGGACACACAAAATCAGACATCTACGTGGGAAGGCAGGTGGGCAACAGGCAACCAGCAGAAATAAGGAGATGGGATAATACCAACAGGACACATTTCCCTGCTGGCTACTCCTTGTGGCTTTCCAGAAACTGATTTTCCCTAGAAAAGAGTTATTTACCCAGATAAGATGCTATTTCTTGTACAAACCAGTGAAGGGAACCCAAGTGCTTTTACTATTTGTATTAGTTCCTTCACTGTGACAAGGGTAACACCCTTACTGGGAACTTTAGGTGACCCCAAATCCAGTGGGTATGGGTATCCCCAGGCATAACATTTTGCAAGCCATCCTACTTAGGACCACCAAGAAAAGAGATCTTAAAGGAGAACTTGGTTCTGTGTTATTCCATTCCTTGATGGACAAGAAGGACCTAATGCTAAGCACTACATTTTCTGTCTCTGTTATCAGTAATATTAACAGATATTTACAAATTCCATGATAAATTCTTACTTGTATGGGTCTCACAGCAGCCACAAACCTTGTGCAATGTTAACTCTAAGCCTGTCTCTTCATTGCTACATCAAGCAACTGCTCTACGTGCCTATAACTAAAAAATGAAGGAAAAAAGCAATAAATTATGTATTTGCAGATCCTGAGCTTCCCAGAGCAGAGAAGCTGTTACAATCCACTGCCTCAGTTTTGACATGTCCAAGGCTATTTTTAAAAACACTGCAATATCAGGAATGACAATATTTAGCTCTATTCTATACTTGTCACGCAAGCCTGGAACAAGACAGGACACTTGGGTACAGGGAACATGAGACACATTTTAAGCACTTAAACCTCCTCCCAGATCATCTTCATAGCATCTGATTGCCGAGATGGAAACAGGGAGCAGCCTCTCCCATTTAACCTCCCTCAGGGATGCCCTGAGCCCTTCCCTGAAGCACCTGCTGTTGGTTAGCATCAGTCTCTTTGCCTTTTCCAGGGTGCATCTGTCATTTTTTTCTCCCTGGTTCATTAAAGCACAGAGGACACCCAAAGTGTCCCTTCATGCTGGCCTTGGAGATTTCATCTGACAAACCATTCTGCCTGGAAGCTTGTTTCCTAAGAAGCAGTAGCAATGGGCTCCAGGATATCAAACAGGGCGGATCTGCAGAGTAGTTCTTACCATTCTGTCATGCAGCTGTCAGAGGAATCAAACAGTGTGCCAAATAACTCAGTATTTAAATCAAGCTTGGCTTGACCTCATTTGTAGTTCCACCCTGGAGTCATGTGGCATCACAACACAACGAGTTGAGATTTAACTGCTCTGCAGTGACGTGGCACAAGTGATGAAAGGACTCCAGCACCAAACCCCACCTCTTTCTGGGTTACCTGCACTCCCTGAACAGCAGGGATTTCACAACACTGCTGCCCCATCTCACGTGGGAGGATGGTTACATGGAGCTGCTGACAAGGGGCTGCTCATGGAGGCTCTCCTTGCTGAGCAGGACCTGCCAACCATCCCAGCAAGGCTCCCTGGATGAACAAGTCTGATGGTTATTCAGTAACCACAAACCACACAGGTGGTCACAGCCTCTATTAAAAAAACTGAAGATGCAATCTGGGCCAAAGAGTGGATTAAATGCTGACTGTGTCCACTGGATCAAGTATACAAGTGCGTGGCTTTTGCCATGGGCCCATTGCCTCTGCTCCTGTCTGCATGCAGCTGATCCCAGGGAGCTGCTAGCTAATTATTTCTGACTTGTCTCATTTGTCCTTCCCACCCTTCTGTGAGCAGACACACCAGCACCCTCACAGGTTGTGCCAGGGCTCACCCACCCCCATCAGCCACCATTAATGTACAGCCTAGGCTCCCCTAGCTGAGCTACAAGCCTGTGACCACATCCTGCTCGTGGTGATTACAGGATAAGTCACTCCTTTATTCTCTGAAGGCACCCCTGACACATCAGATCTTACAGCCCCACTCAGTACTCTAAATTAAACTCTCCAATTTTTTACCTCTTGTCTTCAGAGAGACCTTCAAGACCATCTCTACCCCATTACATCCTTCCAGACATCACTAATTGGTCTGCTGCTCTCTTTAATGGCACTCTCTGAACAGCATAGAGCACTAAGCCTCAGCTGAAGTAGGAGGTGACAAGGAATTTGCTGGCATTTACTGAAAATTCCTGCTTTGTCACAGTACAGAACTGCTTTCTACAATGGTATTACTGATTCCTGCCCTCAGATAACTTTCCAAAGAACTGCTAACAAGCTATTTTCTGTCCAGTAATCATAAAATGGATATTTCCACTTAACCTGAGCACTTTTCCTTGCTCCTTCCTCAGTCACATATCTTTTCTTCCCAATTGTTCTCCGATCTCTAAAACAAATGAGGCTGCTGTAAGGGGAACGAATGGGGACTGACAAAAATCTGCAGCATAGACAGTCCTTGTTCCCCTAGGCAGAATCACAATTATACTGATGCCCTTACCTTTAATTTTCTGTTTGTACTCTTCTGGTCGGTGGAGGTACATGGCTGCAGCGTCACCATTTAGAGGATCTATAGGGTTAGGATAGGCCAGCAGCTGGGGCAGGAACGATTCAAATATATTGGTGAGATCTGCAAGGGAAAGACAAAGCTGCTCACATCCACTGACCCAGAGTTGGTCTGAATCTCTGCAAGCACCAGCACCAAAAAGTTTTGAGGGTAAACGCACTGAAAATCTGAATTTAAAGGAGATTGCATGGGGGAAAGCAAACAGCACCATGCTTCCCCACCTCACTGAGTTCTTCTCCTACTTCTGCCTTCTTCTAAAATCGTTGTTTCGTGTTTCATGACCACAGCACCACACCTTGAACCCAAAACACTGTCAGTGCTTCAGATGATGGTGCTCATAGGAGGAGGTGGATGGCTGGACTGGATGATCTTGGAGGTCTTTTCCAACCTTGGTGATTCTATGACACATGGCCATTTGACAACTAAACTTGTGTGTGCTCAGCAAGCAGAGCCCTGGAGGGATTCTTCCACTGCAGGGATTTTTTTAATTGTCATTATTTTAAAAGAAACCTCAGGGATGTTCCTCCTTGTTTCCAAACAGCCAAAAGCAGCACTGGTTTAACAAGGATTGGTTGAATACATGCAGGAAGCCTAACAATAGCACTGAGAACCTGATACTTCATTAGAGAACAACAGGGAATCTGACCACGAGGTCCCATGGCTTTGTTGGTAGCTATTCTGAGTCTCTTCCACCTTAGTTCCTCCTTGAATTATCTGGCCCATTTCCTCTGCCAGCCCAGGAGTGCTCTGGTTTCACTGCAAACAGCACAACTATGCTGAGAGGCACTGGGGAGTACAATTCTCCCCCTTGGATGGTACATTCAGGTATGTAAGGAGGCAAGGAGGCAAACCCTGGGACTGAAGAGATGGATGGACTCTGGGGGTGTCCTGACTGAAGGAGCAGAGTGAATGCAGTCATCCCAGCATCCTCTCTGCAGCTTCAAGGCATCCTACAGCAAAGCAAGAAGTCTGCAAGAAGAGAACAGTCAAAAGATGCACTTTCCAATGCCAAGCTTCACCACCTGCTGTGGAAGATGTTTTGTACAAAATACAAACCTGACACTTTCAAGTTGCCTTACTCTGGTATCACAAAGAGAAATGCAAAAGAATTTTTTTGATATTAATAATCAGAAGCAAAGGAAACGCCAAGTTATTTTTTCTGCCTTTATGAGCAAAAGCAACAGTAAAAATACAGCAGCACTTATTAGGAAGCCTCTTACAGAAAGCTTTCCTGTGAAATTGTTTGGAAATAGCACAGAAACCCCACTGTGACTGCATGAGCATGCTGCAGAAGAGGGCTGCTATCTAGATGTGCTGTCTAAAGCAGAACTCAGGCTGTCAGAACATAAAAGCAGAGTTAAACCAGTGTGATTTCCTTCTGTCCAGCCATCCCCATGATCTACAGGTGGCATTAAGGCTGGAGAACAGCAGCACACTTTGCACTAAGGTGGGTTCTGCTGCTAAATGAACCATATAGGCTGTTCCCCAGCAGAGGGCTTGGTTTGCTCACATCTTTCCTTCCTCCATCTCCCATCAAGCTGCCCCTGGAAGCAGCAGCATCTCCTCCTTCATTAACACCACCACTGGGTCACAGAGCTGATCTCTTATAACAGAAGTATGCAAACTGTATGCCATGCAACTACAATGCAAAGACTTCAGGCATTCTGTTTAGGAGGAAAGTTCAACAAGTTACTATAGTAATTTTGCATCCAGGATTGACCAGGCTTAGTATTTCCTTACAAACTATGCTTGTGAGGTAGGTGAAAAGGCTCTTCTCTCTAGCAATTGCTTGCAAGCTCCAACTTATATAGATAAAGTCGGGCTTTCAGAGGAGAAAAGATTTGAAGTACACATTTCCCCGAGTACAGTTCCACAAAATAGAGTAATTGGAACATCTGAAGAAGTCCACAGTCCAAAAGAGAAGTCAGGCACTTGAACAGGCTGCCCAGGGAGGTGGGAGAGTCACTATCAGTGTGCATGGTGGGGATGGGTTGGGTTGGACTCGGGGATTTTAGTGGTCTTTTCCAACCTTAATGATTCTATGATTAACCATAGTGGTGATGGGTTGACGTCTGGACTAGAATCTAAAAGGTCTTTTCCAACCATAACAATTCTATGACATATTCTTTTCAACAATTTTAGCTTGCCCTAGATCCTGTTTAAGTGGATCTTCAACTACCAGCTAAACTTTCTACAGCTCTAAAAATGAGAATTATAGACAAACACAACCCACATGGTATCACTGTCAGCAGAAAGGGGATCACAGACTTGTGCCCAAAGCACACCAGTCCAAGTGACATACAAAACATGGCTGGAACTGGATTTCACTTGAGATACAGCCACTCCCCTCTTTCAATGCTGAGTCATCCCTGGATAATATTGTGCAGCTGCCAGACTACCAAGCAATGAATTGAGTGATCCTTTGTGCAGTTTATGAAATTTTATGAAATATTTTAGCCTCTCTGTCACAAAAACAGGTTAAGCAGTGTTTTCACAGGGATATCTTACTTTTCATGTGATCATGGCTCAGTGAGGAGTCTAAAATGTAATTAAAAAGAGCTGGCCTAAAAGCATCTGTATCCAGCAAGCTGTGTTATGTTAAGACACCACAAAAGGGCACTCATGTGATCAGCTCCAGGGGAATGCCAAAACTCACCATAGAGAGCCGTCCAAGTTTGATTGATTACATCTAGACATACAGTCCCTGACCTGAAACATATGGAAAAGATGGAATTAAACACAAGCACGCTCAGAAACACACTGCAGATTTAACATAATCTATTCCCCTTCCCTTGCCCTGCCTTTACCCCACTCTTTCAGATAAGGAATGATTTACTCTTACCCTGTGGCTAATGGTAAGGAAGTTAACTTAAGACGTGCTGTGGGCTGTTAGATTAGATGAAAGCATGGCTGAACTCACTGTCAAACTATTGCCAAGCTATGGACACAGTTACAATTAGACAAAATTCTGAGCAAAACCACATGCATGAGGGATTTACTTACGCTTCATCGATGTTAGGATGGAAAATTTTATTCATGAATCCTGCAAGAGACACAGTGGTAAATAGTAGAAAACAGCCAAAGCTTCTTTTCTTTTAAAAACCAAGAGAAATCTGGAATTTACTGAACAAGGACTCAGCCTGGCAGTTCCACAGAGAACCCCTACTTTGCTATATATAACTGTGTAACCCTCCACAATAAGCAGGCAGCATCCTGACCCCAGGATCCTCAGCCGTTCCCCTGAGCTTCACCCAAACCCCAAATTACAGCAGAACCTCAGCACAAATCTTAAGCTCAACATTTAAGATTATTATTTAATAGTGCTTTCTTTGTTCTGACTCAGAATTAAGTTGTCAAAAATAATTCCTGTGGATTCCAGAGATATGAAATCATGGCAGAAGATGCCTCATACTTTAAGACACTCCTAGTTGCTGCTATCAGATATGAACCCATGCTTTTCAGTCCTGTAGTTCAACCTAGAACTAATGACAGGATCCCAAAATGCACCTCCATGTCCTAAAAACAGAGCTGATAAAACAAGGAGATTACAGGGATTATAACATGCTTCACTTGGCAATAGAGCCTATATAGAAGTAGAGTCCATCTATAAAGACAAACCCCATCTACCCAAAAAGCAAAGTTAAGAATTTCAGCCAATGACTGGGGTGGATGCAGAACTTTGCTCTCCCCTTTTGATAGGAAGAAGCCAAAAAACACCAGTGAGGAACACATCCCCATGCAGAAGGGACAAGGAGCCAGGACACAGAACTGAGTTCTCCAGTTGGTTCATTGGAAAACAGACAGTGTGTCCCCTTCTGCTTTGCAGAATCTTTTTGGGATACTGACTCAATCCAACCCCAAAGCTCATCAAAACACATCAAAGTTCTCCCTCCAGAGCAGCAATACCTTCTCCCAGGCTCTCTGTAGCCCTGATGCATCACTGATGTAGCAACTGCAGTGAGTGACAGCACGGCTCCCATCTGGGTAAGAGCTGACATATGGATTTAACTGCCTTTCCTTCCATGTATTATGACACAAATATAATTCCATGTTTACTCCTACTACTTGGATTTTGCATAAATACAACGCTGCCTGAAAGCAGAACCATCTCTACAAGAAGAACTGCATACACAGCCCCATGTTAACAAGTGGCTTTTGGGACCATTCCGTGATTTAGCTTGAAAAACTGAAGCAGAATTCAAAAGGAAAATTGCAGTTCCATCAAATATTTACACCCAGGTGGCTCCTGCAGATTTAAACTGGGTCATGGATCCACTGTGCCATTCAGAGGAGAGATGTAACCAGCAATGATCCCAATGCTAAATTCTGTCTGTTTTAGGGAGAAAAATAATAGCTTTGGAAAAAGCAAGAGAGAATGCAGCAAAAGGCACAAAGCAGAAAGAATAGGATGATAACATGCAGACTTGCTGAAATAAGTGCTGTCTGGTCTGGTTTCTGGGATGGGGACCAGACAGATAGGGGCAGGCATCCCTCTGCCTTTCCTCACTGGGGGTTTTCTGATCTCAGCTGTTTCCTTGCATCTTCTTCCTTCCAACAGTCAGCTACAGTTGGCTGTGCTGCACAAAAACCTGTTTGGGTTTGGTTGATTGCATCCATGCTCCAGTATTTAAGCCAGACTTCAAATCCAGAGATGAGATCAAGCAGCTCCTGCACTAGAGATTCATAATTCTTCTCTGCCACCTTTGCATTTATCCAGGCAAAGAACAGTCCCTTCCTTCACTCTGTCCTTGGTCTCAAGCTGCTCACATTAACTAGTTGCTTATCAAGAAAGAGCACGAACATCCTCTCCCTGCTCTCCTCATTTCCTTGGCTGCTGCAACATCTTACAGCTCTTCAAGGTCCCATCCAGCCCTAAAATCCAATGTTTGGGTGGAATTCCAGCAGCAGAGTGACTGCAGCCCACATTTTCTATATGGACACACGGAGCCAAGATTGCATCTGAAGGTAAAGCCAGACTGGATGAAATCTGTATTGACAAAAAGCCTTTGGGTGATAACAGGAGAAAAAAAAAAGAAGATTAAAAAAACCATTTACAAAGGGGTTATACAACAGAAAGAGACATATCTGTTCCACTGCTGGGAGATGCTGGGACTAATATGCAGATGCTGACCTTCAGGAACAGCAACATTTAAGCAATAGCCCTGGAGTAATCAGCCCTTGGGTTGACAAAGTCATTGAAGAGAAGGGTATTTGTACATACAAAGTCAGCTAGCTGGCAGGCTGTCCACCTTCCCTTGGTGCTGCCAAAGCATAACTTCCATAAAGCCCTACAGCTGGATCTATTCCAGTAGAAACTGAAGTTCTTCCACTGAACTCCTGCACTGACCTTGGATGACCACTGCTCACCCATGTGTTGGCTCTCCTTGCTCATGCAGTAGGGCAAGTTGGGCATTGCCCTGCTTGAACTGACTGCACGTTAATATCTATGTAAAATTTCTTCTCTGAGGGTGGTCAGGCATTAGAACAGACTGTCCAGGGAAGAGTCACCATCCCTAGAGGGGTTCAAGAAACGAGGAGTTGTGGCACTCAGGGACATAGAGGTGATGGGGTTGATGGTTAGACTTGATAACCATAGAGGTCTTCTCCAACTCATCACCAGAAAAGCTTGTGTAGAGAACAGAAAGCTCAGGAGCTGGGCTTTTCCTCTGCTTTTGGTTGAGGAACTGTGATAGGAGATGGAGGAGGGGTCACGAGAGTACAGGTGCCCCAGTGCTCCCTGTATTCCACTTGAAGATTGGGATTGATGGTTTAGTAATCCCAGAT